AGGGATGGCTTCCCCTGTCCCCACACCCCCCCTCAGAGACCCCCCCTGCCCACAGCCGAGAAACGGAAGGATAATATTCCTTGCGGAGACAGAGAGAAAATAAGGCTCCCTCCGTCCGTCTACACCTTCTCGTACCCAGCGCGTGAGATCCAGCCCACTGCCAGGCCGAGGCACTCGCAGAGGGGTGAGCTGTTTCACAGACCCGCCTGTCCCCAACAGACCTTCCCCCCAGTCCTCGGTGCTGCGCAGGCTTCCTGGGCGCCGGGGGGTTCGGTGGCTTGGCTCGGGAGTCGTGCTGCGAGCAACCATAGCTGTTGGAACTATTTGGATGTTTTGCTTTCCCTTTTTATAGCGGAGTAAATCAATCTGATGCTCGTAAAACAGGTTCAGAGCACTAACCAGAGCCACCCGCCAGCCAAGCTTTTGCTGCGCAGCCTTTCCAGCTGTCTTCTACGCTTGCTGTATCCCCAGGCGCCGCGGTTTTCCCACCAGAGCTGCATCGCTTCTGATGCACCGCATCCATGTTCTGCAGTGTTGCGGCTGCCCTTACTGCAATCTGGTGTCAATTGCTTTGCCGTTTCGTTATACGAAATAGATTCAGTAGTAGTAAAATGCTAAAAGAGCAGCTGCCTCGAGATTGCAGCTTCAATATCACTAATATTGCCTTACAAGGGTAAATAGAGCATTTTTAGAAATAACACCATTCATTTCCCCCTCTGGCTGTTTGGCAGGATGCGTTCCCGCTATTAAAGGGGATGGACAGTCCTATTACAACACTTCTTACCAAGCACAGTTTAAGGGTGAATGGAGTCCACCTGCAAAGCCAAGTGAAAAGGTAACAGCAGGCTTTTGGGGAGGACCAAGACACAGTTAAAGGGCAGCACGTTCCCATGTTGAGTTCTGTCCTGAAAGGGGTGGGATCTGTGCAAGCGAAAACCAGATGGATGGAAAGACAGGGAGGGGAAACAAAGGGATTGTGCTTTACGTGGCTGTTCTGTAGCTCTCTTGGCTTCCCTTCAGCACGTGTCTCCTATTAAATTTGGGGATCCCAGAAGCAGTGGATCTATGAGCGAGAAGAAACATGCCTACAGTGCCCCAGACAAGAGGACACGCAGGTATCAGCAGGAGAACCTGATGGGCATCCCCAGGAACTGCTCGTTCTGATGAACATTGCTAGTTAAGCAGCTCATATCTGCTATCGTGCAGAGTCTATGACAAGGAACGTGCTGCCTCCCAGATCCACCGCACCAACCTGCAGCTGGGGGATGGTTGCACCAGGTTCTCCACCTCGACGTCAGAGCTCTTCCCAGTACACAGTCTAGGTAGGGTAAGTCTGTGACGAGGGGCAACGTGTACAGACCACTACTGGGGTTTATAACAAGCTGAACAGTAGGTTTTATCACTTGGGTTTAATGGTATAGTTATAGATAAAGATTTAATGCATTCATATGTATATCATTTTATATTTTTAATTTTTTATAGTTTTTATGTACTCAGCATCAGTGTCGTCACTGTGAGGCTCAGTTTCATCCTCACTCACTTCCCTGGCAGGTTAAGTAGCTCTATTCATTCCTGTGCTTTATTGCATGAGGAGAAGCTACTGGAGCTGTAAATTGTTCAGAGACTGGAGTGCTCCGACATCCTTCACTCTTGCTTTTGCCAGAGCCTGTAACTACTGCCCGTCCAAACAAATATGCCTCATCCATCCCCAGAGGCGACGAAGACCCTGAGAGAAATCAAGCGTTGGCAAGAACTACTACTACACAGCTCTTCTACCCAGAGGTCTGTTCCCAGCTTTGCTGTGCGGGTGTTTCTCTGGTGGAGACCCTCTCTTTTTTTATGTACACTACTCTGGCACCTAAAGCCGATGCTGTTGTCCCTTCTCCCCTCCCCACTCTGGGCCGTGCAGGGTGTAATGTGCGACGGGGCGCCTTTCCCAGCTACAGCCTGTTTCTGTTAAAGCCGCTCTTGTGTTCTCCAGACTGACAGGTGGAACCTCGCACCGAAGCCTGGCTTGCTACTGCAGAAGCATCGAAGCAACGTCTGCTTGGGAGATGAGCGTTCAGGCTCCCGTTTCTTCAGCACGACGCAGCAGGCAGACTATCAGCCACCCCGCCAGAGCCAGAGGGTGACAGCAGACAGCAAGAGCCACCGTGAAAGCCACATCCCCTTCAACTACCACAGTAAGGCCACATTGCTCAGGCTGTCGTGGTGCCAGATGAAGCCTGCTGAGGTTCTCCTAGCTCTGTGCCAGGGACAGCGATGCCAGGTGCTCTGGGAAAGGAGGCAGCCCAGACATCGTGGGTTGGAGATGGCAGGAAGGCACTGGTGCAGCATCACGTCTTTAGTAAAATGAGACTGTTACCCCAAAACCGGGCAGGACAGCTGTGCTCAGCCCCATGCCTGCTGCTGCTGGTTCTCACAGCGACTGCTAGTCTCAGGCACTTTCACCTCCCCAAATGACATCTCACTTATCAGCCACCTTGATGCCTGTGCCAGCCATAGGCATTCACTGCCATCATACAGCAGTTTAGCATATTCAGGTGACACAAATGATTTCTGGGACATGAACCAGTGGCTTGATCTTTCTCCCTTGCTACATTTGTTTTTAGAAGTTGCTTTGCATTTGTATTTGGGAGGATGGAGAGGATTTCAGTCAAAAGCTGTGCTTTGATCCCCTCAGGAAGGGATGTGGTTAGAGCTGGTCATGGAAGGCATTAACAAAATCCTCCTCTGACGTTGCCTCCTGTTTCTGATGGCCAGTACTCGGCAGCTAAGAGAGAGGTCCCTTCATGCCATGTATCTGTTTTTAAGCCATTTGTTTTCCTAAATGTGGAACAGATCACAGTTGAATTGATCTTTTCCTTGGCCCCAAACTTCTGGAGCAGCTCCATAACTAGCATATGGAGTGATATTCCTGTAACTTCCATGTGAATTTCTTCATTTACCTCCTCACCCTGAGAACTGTTTTCGGTCTGGGCAAAGGTTTTCAGCAAAGCTCTGACGGCAAAGCCTGTCTTTTCCTCTCGTTAATGGAAATGCACACAGACTTGTGACTGCAGGTCAAACTGCAAAGCTTTTCTGATATTACCTCCTAATTTACTGGCTTGAATTCACTTTTTATTTCAATTCCATCTGTCAGCAGATGAAAGTTCTGTCACAACCATGCAGGCCATGCTGGTCCCACACAGACAGCAGAAACAACGACTCTCCAATGACATGCTACAGCAGGTACAGCCTTAATAGGCTTGGATTTACCACAGAGCGGCTTGGGGAAGCGGGATTATACCAAGCAAAGCTGTAGCCTCCCCATTAACATCATGGGGAGCCACTTGGGCCACTTGAGATGGGTCAGCCATGCAGCAAATCCTGTCTGCCTTCAGTCTCAAGTAAATGCTCTGTGGGGAGCAGAGTCGTAGCTGAGAACAATCTTTGAAGGGAGGGGAAGGACAGGCAGCCAAGTCCCCAAGCCAAGGAACGTTGGAGGGAGGGGGAAGGTGATTCTGGTCCCCCACAGAGGATCGGAGGAGGAAAATTGGCATGGCTGGAGGTGTCCAGCCAAGGTAAATATCTCTTTGCACCACCAGCAGAGAAGGCTGTGCATCTTCCAGAGAGAGAGGATGCGGGCATGCACAGACCGCAGCTGCCCAGGGGGGTAACCCTTCAGGTAGCAACACAGGGCCCAGATGTAGGGGCTGCCAGATGCCATGTTGCCACCTGCCTCTTCCCCAGCCCCGTCCCCATGTGCTGAAAGCTATTTTCTCTCCTCAGATCAAATGCTCACACCTGGGGCTACCCTGGAGGGCACAGGACCTCTTCAGGACTGAGCAGAAAGATGAGTTCACGCCCAAGTCCAGAGGCCCAGCAGAAATCCAAAAGGCAAACTCCCAAGTGAGCTGCGTCCCCCTGGGGACCCTGAAAGGATACTGTCCCCAGAGGAAGGTCCTCTTCGCACCGTGATGTTCTCCCTTCTTCAGTAACCGCCCAGAACTTGCTGCACTGCGGACTGCATACAAGTCATGCTACCTGTTAGCCATCCTGGTGCCCTGCTCTTGGCCCGGAACATTTATTTCTCAGATGCAATGAGG